GTTTGTAGTAGAATCTCCTTTGCTAGAACTTGGCCAGGTTTGGATTCCGATCTATGTAGTCGTGCATTCCTTTCCCGCCAGATGTTGTAAATCGCCCCCTGGAATAGCAGTAAAATCATAAGCTTCAAGCAGCGATCAACCGAGAGTTGGTCCAACCAACAAGTCCAGCCTGCGAGTGTAGTCTGCTCCGTGAGGCGTAGTCCCGAGCGCTCCAACAGCGAGCTCCAGATGTGAGTTGTGTATGTGCAACGGAAGAACAAGTGGTCCACTGATTCATGAGCCTGATCACAAAGCAGACAATTCGGTGACACTTGCAATCCCCATCTTTGCATTCTATCTCTCGTTGGTAGCCTGTTACGAGCAACCAACCAAGAGATAAAAGAATGCTTGGGGACAGATTTCCGGAACCAAATGACTTGATGCCAAAAAACCCTTGGTGGAGGAGTGTATAGTAACTGCCAAGCCCTTTGCGTTGTGAATGGCCGAAGATCGACCGAAGAGTAGGAGTCTGACCAGTAAAACATATCCTGTCGAGAAGAATTAAGAGGTAGATTGAGATTCGTGAGGGCCAAATGAAGTGAAACTATCTCATCTGATCTCGCTGGTGGGACCGACCAACCATCGACAGAGCAGACATCAGCTACAAGTGCATTTCTCGGGATCCCCAATCTGCGTGGACCTTCCTCGCCGAGAAATCCAATCAGCGGGCCTTGAGGTAGCCAAGAGTCCAACCAGAATTTGCATTGTAGTCCGTTCCTAACCTGGCACTTCAGAAATCTCCTAGCAACAGTTCTGATTTTCAATAATTTATGCCATGCCCAACTCCCTTTCCCTCTTTGCCGTAGATCCCAAAAAGAGGAAGGTCCTATTAAGTGTCGAGTGATCCAAGCAACCCACAGTGAACCCCCTCTCGTAAATAGCAACCATATAAGTTTCAAGCACAATATTGAGTTCCAGTCAGCTAACCTCTTCAACCCGAGTCCCCCAGAGCTTTTGGGAGAGCATACAACTGACCATGAGACTTTTGCACCTCTGGCCGAGTTGGGTGCTCCCGTCCAAAGAAAAGCTGAGCACAAGCGTTCAATCTCTAGTATACAACAACCTTGAGAGAACCTCCATCACCAAGGTAAAGAGATAAGGGGAGAGCGGATCCCCTTGTCGTAACCCCCTTTTTCCTTTAAAGAAACCAATTAGCTCTCCATTGAATGCTACAGAGTACATCGGTGAAGATATGCATTCCTCAATCCATAGCATGAATCGCGGGGGAAAATCTAAAGCCTCCAAAATCCTGATCAATAACAACCAATTAACCTTGTCGAACGCTTTGCTAAGGTCGACCTTGAGAAGTGCCTTCGATGGAGAGCCTCTTGCTTTGAAACCCGCTGTTAATTCAGTCGCTAGCAACACATTTTCAATAAGAGATCTGCCGGGAATGAAAGCTGATTGGTTTGGGGCTATGATGTCTGGTAATACCTTCTTCAATCTGTTTGCAAGCACCTTCGCTATAACTTTATAAACTGTATTACAACAGGATACATGCCTAAAGTCCTGCAATTTATCAGCGTTTTTTACCTTTGGAATCAGGGTTATTTGTGTAGTATTCCACTGCTTTAGTAGAGAGCCCGACCGAAAAAATTCCAGCACAGCAGAAACCAAATCTTGGCCCACAATGTCCCAACATTCCGTAAAAAACTCTGTAGGGGGATATCTGGGCCAGGGGCTTTACCTTTTGGAAGCGAGAAGATAACACTCGTAATCTCTGCTTCATCAGGAATACGTGCAAGGGACGACATCAAAGAGGTATTGCATCTGTTCGGTAGTAAATCCTTCAGTTGTTGAGTTGACCAACATAAGAGGTTTTCATCCGTAGTTCCCAGAATCTGCCTGTAGTAGCCTACGATCATACGCTTAAATTCAAGCTCATCAAAAATCCGAACTCATGTATCATTCACAAGCAATCTGATGGCGTTTGTGGACTGACGAGAAGCTGCGATTCGGTGAAAGAACTTAGTATTCTGATCCCCCTCTGATAGCCAACGAATGCGGGACTTCTGTTTGAAGAACGCTTCCTCGGCCTCTGAAAGAAAAACCCATTTGGAGCGTAGCTCAGATTCTAACTGTGCTAACTCAAGTGATGGACGATGGAGAAGGTCTTGTTGAGCAACCTTCAGGGCTTCTAAGGCTTGCTCAGTTCGCACCTGAATATCGCTGAAACCTGTATGATTCAACTCCCTTAGCTCACACTTAAGAGTCTTTAATTTATGTGTCAACCGGAACATTTGTGAACCTTGGATCCTTGTGTTGTTCCAAGCTTCAAAAACCTTCCGGTTGAAGTCCCGATGCTTAGTCAAGTGCATAAAGAATTTGAAATTTTTGCGCCTCCTCCTGTGGTTCGGATTATCAATGTAGACAATACAAGGCGAGTGATCCGAAGGAGCGGGTGGATCAAATATCGCATGCGAATTCGGAAGTCCATTAACCAGTAGTCATTGATAAGAGCTCTGTCTAGCTTCCGAGTTATTGGATTTTCCAAACAGAAGTTCGTCCAAGTGTAATAGAGTCCAAAGGCTGAGAGATCAAAAAGACCGTTATTAAGAAGGCATTCTTGGAATTCTGACATTCCTGCGTGTTGTACGAAGGGTGAGGTTGGCGAAGCATGCTCAACTGGTCGAAGAACTTGATTAAAGTCGCCAAGAACCAGCCAAGGGCTAAATGAGAGTACAGGATGAATTTCCAAATTACAAATTTTGGTCCACAGACCTCGACGTTCCGCTGCAGTATTTCGGGCATAGATAATCGATACCGTGTAGGAGGTTTGTGATTGGGGATTGAATACACCGCAAGTTATCATCTGGTCGGAATAGAAGTATGGAGTCACCACAAGTAAGCTGTCAAAAATTACCCAGATTCTGCCAAGTTCGGAGCTGACATAATTATGTATTAACTTCCAATTCGGGGCCAGATTTTCCATAATCCGCAAAGCCTGAGATTCACCACAAACGCGTGTTTCAATTAACCCTCCAAGTAATGGCTTGTGGGATGAGATCAGATCCTTGACTGCTCGCTGCTTTCGTACACCATTGAGGCCACGTGTATTCCAACAAAAAACTTTCATCTGATTCTTCCAAAAAGATACCAAAACCCAAAAAACCAAAAAATCTCCTGGTAGCTGTGTAATCACTACAAAGGGCCATTCCCCTTCCGAGATTTGCCGACCACCGTGAAGTCGGAGGGATCTCGGGAGGTTGAGATAGCTCTAGATCGTAGTACTCGCTGTGCTTCAAGAATGAACTGGTCTTCCGAGTCGAAATGAAATTTACGCTGAGAATTCTTAACTGTCTTCTTTGACTGGGCCACGAGTTTAGTTTCTGTCCTTACTGGTAGTATAGTCGGTTGGGTTGTTTGCTGTAAAGGGGAATGGGGACCTGTAGGTTGTATATCAGGTTGTTGAATACCTGCATTCATGTCCGCTATTTGAGGATCCCATGCGTTAGTCGTGTTGGGGGCCAAAGTTACAGACGTGGGTAGAGTCGATGTAGAAGCAGACGCCACATCTTTGACTGTGAGTTGACTGTCTACGGTCTTTGGAGTCTCAATGGAAGTCCATGTTTCGACCACACGTTTCGGGGGCTAGGGTTGACGAACCGGGCAGCTTTGGAGCTTGTGACCAAATTCCCCGCAGTTGATGCATTTCGGGGGGATCCAAGGATAAGCGGCATTAACCGTGATTACAGAGCCTTGTTCATCCTCAATTTCTATAGCTTGAGGCAGAGTAGCATCCAATTGAACTTCCACTTTGACCTTTGCCTCACCAACACTCAACGGATCCAATCGCATCTTGTCCGTGTGGAGAGGCTCGCCGATGCCCGAAGCTATGTAACTGATTCCTTTCAATGAATATAGTTCCGCTGGAATATTCGTTAGGTTCACCCATATCGGAGCGGACGTCAAGGTAGTGGTCCGGAGTGTGGCTGTCGCTGACCATTCCACGACTGAGAACATTACATCCATCGCCCTCCAAAGACCCACCTCCAAGACCCATTCTCTTGTGGCTAGGTCGGGGATGTGGAACAGGCACGAGGAGTTGTTAATCCTGCGGACATGAATTTTTGAGCGTCTTCCCCAGATCGGGTTTAATATTTGGAATAGTTTCGATCCTGAAGGCGCTATTCCTAAAAAATTTCCGACGAGGTAACCCGTCCAGTTGCGTGAGGCTTCTAGCAGAACAGAGCTAGGGACTCGAATCCTTGGAGTGCCTTTCTCCGAGATCTATGGGGTGGCGAGTCTGCTGAGGTTCCGAGAGGAAGCTTTCAGTCGTTGTGCCCAGGGATAAGTCTGAGGCGGGGCCTGAGAAGCTGGAACTGGCGATGGAGTAGTAGATCTCGTGACCCGAGAGGGAGCCCGAGGTAGAGGAGGGAAGTCCTCGGCCGGAAAACCTTGGATGTGGACAGCCTTGTCCGCCAGAGCCGAGATTGGAGTAGCAGGTGGCGGTGCCTCTGAGTTTGTGACAAGTTGGCTAAGTAATGATGAATCTCGCTGAACTGGGAGAGACGTGGGTTCCGGGGCCCCTGATTCAACTAAGGGAGAGGAAGGAGGTGGATCTGATTTTGAAATAGGGGAAGCCGCAGGAGATTGGTGCGATTTACCTTGAGTATCTGAAGAGAACCACTCCCTTTTTTTTTCTTCCCCATTGGCTCCTATGCAACGGCGGTCGGCCCCGCCGTCACGGGATGGAGCTAGGTTTTGCCAATAATCGCATGTCTCTCTTACTTTCTCACTCTCTCTCCCCAGATCTGTATAATCGCCTGTCACGGGATGGAGCTAGGTTTTGCCAATAATCGCCTGTCTCTCTTACTGTCTCTCTTAATAGTCCGATTTGTTTCAATACTAAGCGTTTTCGTATACAAACCCATGTTATATATATGTATATATAGCCATCTCCCGTGACAATATAATTATTCAAAGAAAGTTTGAGCATCATTTGCATTTTTGATATAATGATGGATATTCGGAAAACCAGTTTTATGCTAACATTTGTTATAATAACAAATGCAATTGTAAGTTCTTCTGAAAAACACAAAGTCCCCGAAGCCGAAATTCAAAGACTATTGAAGCAACGCAACAAGTCTCCTATCAAATCCATACAGGTATATATACATGTATATATATACACACAAGTATTACAAACATATTTCATGATATATAAAATGCAAAAAAAAAAACATAAACCAACTTGGTTGGTGTGTATGTAACTGCTTGCCTTTCACTTTCGAACAGGGTTCTGATGGAAGAATAATAGATTGTGTTCATACCATGGATCAACCGAGTTTAGATCATCCTTTGCTCAAGAACCACACCATCCAAGTTCGTTTTCTTTTTCGTTAAGCTAATCATTTCTCTTAGTTTTTTTTTCTCACAACGAGGTTTGCTCTAATGTTTCTTTGTCTGATTTTGTTTTGACCGTAATACCATGAATAGATGAGGCCAAGCGCCTTACCTAAAAGTCGTTCCGAAGAAGAAGATGCATATCGGAAAACAGAAGCCATGTGGAATCAGCTTTGGAACGAGAACGAGAGATGCCCGAAGAACACCATTCCAATCATAAGAACGACAAGAGAAGATTTGTTAAGAGAAGCTACCCTTAAGAAGAAGTTCCCATTGCTAAACAGATCCTATGTTGACGATGATGACCCAGATGAGCACGAGGTATACATATAGACGTATATATGAAACATATCTCTGCCTATTATATATATATATATATATATATCCGTAGCTTGCATGTTTACGTTTTAAAGTGGCTTTAGCACGTAATAATGGGAGCTTATTCGGGAGATCAAGGAGAATTCAAGGAAGTAAAGGCGCGTATAGGAGTATGGAATCCCAGAATCGAGACGGGCGCAAACGAATTCAGCGTGGCTCAGATGTGGGTCGTTAGTGACCTCGAGAGTACCACCACCTTGGAAGCCGGTTGGCAGGTACTTGTTCTTTTGTCTTCGGCTATCTCTTTGCATCACCATCTTCGCTTCATGTTAGCATGTGTTCTTATATCAGGTTTACCCGGGAATATATGGAGACGTGTGAACGCATTTGTTCATATATTGGACGGTATGTTCCTCTGAAACGGACTTCCTTTGTCATCTTGTTGGCAGAAGTGAGTGACTCAAGTCAATGCTGATTTGAGTTTGTAGATTATGGTTTAGTTTCGGTTTACTTAAAGCTGGTTTATGTGTTTCAGTTTCAGGGACGTGTTGGAGTTATGTAGGTGTTGGTTTTTTTTCAGTAACTGTTTTTAGTCAGTTTTCTGAAGTGCTGTATATGTATGTTATTTTTTGTAAGTTTTCTATGTATGAATGAAAAGCTTTCTGGAAAATTTCAGACTGAAGTTAAGAGAGTTCTTGATTCATATTTAGACCGAAAACAGAGAGTTAGAGGGAGTTTGATTTGTAACAGTGGTATCAGAGCATAAGTTGTTCTTAGAGGGATCTGTGGAGAAAGCTTGTCGAAATGGATCAAGGTGATGCTGCAAGTTCATCTCAGATTCAAATCCAGCCTGCTCCGATCTTTGATGGTGAAAACTATCAAGTTTGGGCAGTGAGAATGACGGTGTATCTGAAAGGTTCAGACTTGTGGGAATCAGTGGAAGAAGATTATGAAGTTCTTCCATTGTATAATAAAATGGGCCTTAGCCCAATTAAAAAAAAAAATATATTAATTAATCAATTAAAAAAAAATAAATAAAAAAAGAAGAAGAAGGGGCGGCTAAATCGCCGCCCATGTGTAAAAAAAAGAAGAGATAATAAAAAAAATATAAAAGAGAGGTGGCGGTAGCCACCAACCTGACCACCAACCCAAAAAAAAAAATTTTAAATAAAATAATAATTAAAAAAAAAAACTCAAACCTCCCTATAAAAGGGGAGGCTCACACCTCTGCAAATACACACACGCGAGAGAGAAAGAGGGAGAAAGTAAAAAAAAAAAGGAGTGAAAAAAAAAAAATAAAAATAAAAATAAATATAGTAATAAAATAAAAATAAAATAAATATATATATTAAGAAATAATTTTGATCAATCTGGGGAAAAATACCATCGCGGAAAATAATCGGCATAATCCCGGTGAGTGAATTTGGATGTGATTCGAAATTTCTATTTTTATTGTCTTCGGAGTTTGTGTGTATATGTGTAAAATTGTTGATTGATTCGTATTCGTGGAATATTTATGATTGTTCTATATGCATGAATTATTGTGTTGATTTAAATATTTTAATAACGTTCAAAGTCTGGACCGAGTCGGACGGGTCCCACACCGTCCCGACTGAGGTTTCAAATAAATCAACGCGAAAATTTAAATATAAGATAAAATAATAATAATAATAATAATGAATGATGAATTCTGGATCAGACGGTCTGAATCCGGACCGACCCGATCCTAAAAAAAAAAAAGAAGAAAAAAAAAATATTTTTAACATAAATAATAATAATAAATAAATAAATAAATCAAAGAAAATGATTAGACGGTTCAGAAATTGAACCAACCCGTACTGTCAAAAGAATAATAATAATAATAATAATCATGATTAAAATAATAATAATAATAATAAATAAATAAATAAATCAAAAAAAAAAAATATAAATGGGTTAAACGATTCAGAAATTGGACCGACTCGGTCTAAACTTAAAACCTAAATTTAACCAAGGTATTACTAAACTCGGTTCGAATCGGACCATACGAACCAAACGACATGACCGGGTAAGTACCAATCTCGGGACGAGCCAAACTGGTAATCTGGACGGGCCGGAACCTAGTTTGATCAGACCGAAGATTTAAAAGATTTAATAAAACATAATAATAAGTAAAAATAAACTTAAAAGAAATTATGTTTGACCGTGTGTACAGTAAGTAATAATGCATGACCGTTTGTGACTGGGGAATCTTGTCAGGGTAGATGGCATAGCATTGACATTACTCGGATGGGTTCGGGTATTGTTCAATGTGTGATTGTAGACGGGTACTTGAGTGATATCACGATGATTGTCTTGATTGTAAATCTTCGCAGTATGATATTCGATCCGGATCGATTATCATCCCGTGGAGATGTGATTGTGATTGTGGCGATCTTCGATCGCGCCATCGTTCCCTGACGAACGGTTATGGCAACCTGTGACTCACGTATTCGGGTTTGCGTGTGTCACCCGAATATGTGACGAGGAAGTACGGTTCTTTGGCAACCGCGCCAACGTTCCATTGGCCATGGAACGGACTTCGGGTTTGCGTGTGTCACCCGTTGACTGGCAAATAAACCTGAGACCCGGGTAGTTGCGTGTGTCCCCCGGCGAGGTGGTACGGATATACTCTGAAAGATTTGAGCTCGAGTCTGATGAGTATTTTCCGAGGCGGATGGTCGGCGAGGGGAGTTAGCAGATTTTTGCTTGGACTGTTGCGCCTCGTGTTCGACACAGGCATGAACGAGTTGTTGTATTTACCTACGTGTGATATACACGTAGAGACGATTGACGGACATTGTTTGAGAATGCTGATTGATTCAATGATGATTGATTTTATTGAAATATCTCGTCGCATGTATATGTATATTATTGACTATATTGCTTGGCCGTTTTCAATAAAAATAGAAATCTCGGGTTACACCCGAATTCCTCCCTAAGCACGTAGCTTAGGACGTTGTTATGCAACGTTTCAGGTCGTGAGCAGCAACAGTGACTGAGGCAGACACGGGACCCGGTGACAGCTAAACTTCCTGATCATGTATAATTATCTTTAACGCATTCTGTTTTCAAAAATAAAGAGTGGTGATTTTCGAACTTTTTGTGTTATAGTTTTCACACCACTTGTATTATGTACTGGTACCGTTCCAAGCGTGTGCGAACGTATTGATGTATTTTATAACGTCTTCCGCTGTATTATATTTAAAGTGGATCGTTTTAACTTTCCCGCGAGTTTATATTTCGAAATTTTCCGATTGTGATTTTATTGTCCACGTGGCACAACCTGTAAGCGGGATACGGGGTTACGGGTGTCACACATTGGGAGAAAATCCTACTTTGAACCAAATCAGATTACACAAGGAGAAGGTTACCAGAAAAGCGAAAGTCATGTCTTGCATATTCTCGGCTGTTTCTCCGTCGATCTTTACCAAGATCATGAAACTGGAGAACGCCAAGGAAATGTGGGATTTTCTGAAAAAAGAGTATGAAGGGGATGATCACATAAGAGGTATGAAGGTCTTGAACTTGTTTTGAGAGTTCGAGAGACAACAAATGAAATCTAGTGAGACAGTGAAGGAGTATGTTGATAGGCTTGTTGGAATCGTGAATCAGATCAGAATTTTGGGTACTGATGTGGGAGATGAGAAGATAGTGCAGAAGGTTATGGTTTCGGTGCCAGAAAGGTTCGAAGCTACATTAGCCTTATTGGAGAACACCAAGAATCTTGCACAACTGAAACTGTCTGAGATAGGCTCAGGAGCAGAGGCGAATGATGAGAAAGGAAGAAACTACTGAGGGAGCATTGAAGGCAAAGGTTAACGGTAGTAATGCTGGAAAAGGGAAGCAGAAACAGAAGCAGAACTCTGGAAATCAAAACAAGCGGGAAGGTTCATCTGAAGAAGCCAATTCAAGCAGAAACTTCCATGAACCCTGCAAGCATTGCAACAAGGTGAACCATCCTCATTGGAGATGTTGGAGGAATCCGAATGTTAAGTGCAGGCAATGTGGAAAGCTTGGGCATATTGAAAGGTTTTGTCGCAGCAAAGATCAAAGGCCTGCTGAAGCAAAGACAGCTGAAACAGGTGATGAAGAAAACTTGTTTGTGGCTTCTTGCTTTAATGTGAATCCTGTAAAAGGAGGTTGGCTGGTTGACAGTGGTTGTACAAACCACATGACTGATGATAGGAGCTTGTTTAAGTGGTTGGATACATCATTGAAAACCAAGGTTAAGATCGGAAATGGAGAGTGCATTGATGTGCTAGGAAAGGGTGATGTGCTGATCAGAGGTTTGAATGGAAAAAGTGGAGTTTTATCTGAAGTTCTCTATGTTCCTCAGATTGATCAGAATCTGTTAAGTGTTCCACAGCTGGTGGAGAAAGGATTTAAGGTGTTGTTTGACAAAAATGAGTGTATCATTGGCAATGATACAGAAGAAGCGTTATTCAGGATCAAAATGAGGAACAAGAGTTACTCGTTTACATTTGGAAACGAGGAACATTCAGCATTTAGTGGAAATGTGTTAGAAGAAGAGATTTGGCACAAGAGGTTGGGACATTTTCATGGTCAAGGGATCATGTATATGATTAAGAATGGTTTAGTAGAGGGTTTTCCAAATTTACAGAAAGAAGTTGCAGATTGCAAAGCATGTTCATTGGGAAAGCAAAAAAGGCTACCATTCAAGTCCTCAAGTTGGAGAGCTAAAGATAAGCTTGAGCTCATCCATACAGATGTGTGTGGCCCTATGCCTATCGACTCACTGAATGGAAGTCAGTATTTCATCATTTTTATTGATGATTATTCGAGATTGTGTTGGATTTACTTTCTGAAACAGAAGTCTGAAGTGGATGGGACCTTTCTGAAATTCAAGAGTGAAGTTGAGACAGAGAGTGGTCGCATAATGAAGGTAATCAGATCTGACAATGCTTCTGAATACACTTCTGGTAGATTCAGAACCATATGTGAAGAAGCTGGCATCAAACATCATTTTTTCTGTACTTTATGTTCCTCAACAGAACGGGGTCAGTGAAAGGAAAAATCGATCAATTGTGGAGATGGCTCGGTGTTTGTTGCAAGAGAAGGGATTACCAAAGATGTTTTGGGCTGAAGCATGTTCTACTGCAATTTTTCTGCAGAACAGACTTTCAACCAAAGCTCTTGACAATAAAACTCCTTTGGAAGCATGGACAGGTAAAAAGCCTTCTGTCATAAACCTGAAAGTGGTTGGCTGCATTTGTTATGCATTGGTTGATGATCCAAAGAGAGATAAGTTAGATCATAAAGCTGAAATGGGAATCTTTGTGGGCTATAGTCTTGTTTCTAAAGCTTACAGAGTGTATCTCCCTGATAAAAAGAAGGTGATA